CCTCCAATAACCTCCCACCGGCCAATACGCTCCCACAGAGAGGGCCTCCTCAGGGTGCCGTCTGTCAGGCAATGTCGGCTGGCGACCCCCCGGGGAAGAGCCTTCTCTGTGGGGGCACCCGCCCTCTGGAATGAACTACCCCCAGGGATACGACTAATCCCGGACCTCCGGACCTTCCGCCGGGCCCTGAAGACTCTTTTATTTCAGCAAGCCAGGCTGGGTTAAAAATCTTTTAATTGGGGAATTTTATGGGCAAGGGGTTTTAAATTGGAGAAGCCAAAGATAATTTAATTTCGTTTTAATGTATTTTAATATTTGTATTGTGTGTTTTTAATTTTGGCTGTTCACCCCCCCCGAGTCCTTCGGGAGAGGGGGCAGTATAAAAATTTAATAAATAAATAAATAAATAAAATAAATAAAAACAATTAGCCAGTAGAACAGCTTGCCAACAGGAATTGTGGGCACTCATCACCGGACGTTTTTAAGAAGAGACTACACAGTCACTTATCTGAAATGGTATAGATTCTCCTATTTGAGCAGGGGGCTGGACTAGAAGACCTCCAAGATCCCTTCCAGCTCACTTTATTCTAATATCTATTATCATCTGGGAAAATAAAATTGGCCCACATCTTTCTTTCTATGGCCTCTCCGCTCCCTTATATCATTTAGCCCTGATAGAGTTCTTCAAGTTTTACTTATTTATTTCTCTACAAGATTTATATGACCCCACCCCTCCCTGAACTAAAACAGGGTGACTCTGGGTTACATACAACAAAATAATCAAACATTTGCACCACCGCCCTGCGAAACAATGAGTATTTAAACAAAGAATCCTAGATTGACAGTCTCAGAATGATAAGAGCCCAAATTCCCCTTGCTTACCTTGCTTTGAGGATCCTTTTAACAGACCCTTCTGGGTCCCCACAGTACCTCCACAAGATCACTTCCGTCACAGGCCCCAAAGCGTTCATGCCCGCAAAGGTAAATTCTTCGCCATAGATACCAATAAAGGGAAGGTCTTCTTTAAATCCCCTATTCAGAGAACTTGCATTTCTTCCAAGACATCTGCTGATGTTTCTTATGAACTTTGGCAGGCTGCCCTGTTGTACCTGCTACTTATCAGCTGTGCTGGGGGCGGAGAGGAGAATCCTCTACTTCCTACTTTCATTTTTTTTCGTTGGAAGTTTGCCAAAATATTTCTACGTACGGTTGCCAGGAGATGGTTTTGGGGGTGGGCTAGGTTTTTCTTTGGAGGGTCTCAACTATGCTAGATCATTTATTCCAACTTTTCTTTGCTGTATTTTTTTTGTTTCATTCTTCATGACAATGTTTTATCTGATAATATTATTTTTTTCTGATTTATTTATTTGGTCTTTTCTTTGGCTGTAAGTCAATCAAGTAGATAAGGCTCAACATTCCCAGTTCCTCCAATCGCTCTTCCTAGCATTTAGTTTCTAGTCTTCTTTTGAATCTATACCCTCCACTTGCTGCCATGGGCTCAGTGGTCTTATCAGTCCAGTTCCTCAAATGGGGCACAGCCTCGGACACATGGACTGATGCCGAATGGAGAGGACTTATCATTATTCCCATGATGTGGAATGCACTGTTTGCTGAAGCCTATAATACCATTTATCTGTAGAGATTCTCAGTCATTCAGGTCACGGTTGTCTCAAAGGTGGTTTTTCAAAATTGGACTGTTTTTTTTTTCCTTGAGAAAGAAGAAGATGTTTTGCTTCTCATCCAAGAAGCTTCATCGATTCTGGCATGTTGGTGGGGGCTATGGAGTTCTGACAGGATGTTGGTGGGTGGGGTTGGAAGGATCATATTTCTTTGCAGCCTTCTGGTCTCAGCTTTCTCCCGGGGAACACTTGAGGCCACTTGGGAGTTTATCTATGCCCTCCAGGCAGTGGTGGGTTTCAAATAATTTCACCACCGGTTCACCAAAAATATGAGCACACACATGCGCAGCAGGACTGGGTTCTACTTTCCTTTACAGGAAAGTTTGCAGTGGGGCTGCGCACTGTTCTGTGCAAGCGCAGAAGTGTTTTGATGATGTCAGGGTTGGTGGGCGTGGCCTCCCACCAGTTTTACTACCAATTCTATAGAACTAGTGCGAACCGGGAGCAACCCACCACTGATGCGTGTATGCCTTCCACGCATGCGAGCGTGCACAGCTTCGGTGCATGCATGGCTTCTGCCACACAGCAAGGCTTGACCGAGCAGCCTTTCGGGGCCTGCTCCCCTCCATCTCTGCTCTCCGGGGTAGCGGCTGCTTCTCTCTACACTGCTGGGAGAGTATTTTGTGCAATTAAGCAGCTGTGAGCCACCGCTTTCCTCTAAGTCCCATCCGGAAAGCGCTGCGGCACAGAGAAGCAGCCATGTTGAACATGCCCCCCCGCATGCACCCCACCCTCCCTGCGCATGTGAGCACGGCCCCACACACACGCCCCATCCTTGTGCATGCACATGTGGCCCCCCATGCCCCGCCCTGCACATGCACGCACACGCCCTCTGCATGCGCCCTACCCCCCATATATGTGCGGCAGAGACCTGACGACCAGCTGCCCATCTGGAGGTGCGCACGCATGCGCGGTGGAGCTGAACTGGGGCGACAACTCACGTGCCCTCAGAGTGGGTGCTGCGTGCCACCATGGCTATATACTTTCTCTAGGCATTGTATATAATACCTAGGCATTATGCAGAATGATAAGAATTATTTAGGCAAAATATGAAAAGAGGCATAAAAAGAGTCATGAAATGGGTTAGACTTGGGGGTAGGGTTAACCTGTCTTTATTAAAAAAGATGTATATGAAAATAGAAAAAAAAAAGCAAAATAAAGTACAGAGCTTTCTTACTGAAAACAAACAAGAGAAAAAGACCAGTATTGACTAAAAGTCTGAAGAGATTCTCTGTCATCCAGGTCATGGTTTGTTTGTTTGTTTGTTTGTTTGTTTGTTTGTTTGTTTGTTTGTTTGTTAAATTTATATACCGCCCTACTCCCGAAGGACTGGTTGTCCCAAAGGTGCTTTTTCAGGAGGCAATTGGACTTCCTTGGTTTTCTTTGAAGACGTTTCACTTCTCATCCAAGAAGCTTCTTCAGCTCTGACAGGATGGTGGGGAATGGAAGGATTTATACTCCTTGCGGACAGCTGGTCATTTGCATCCTTTTAGAGGGTCCTTGAAGCACTTGGAGGTTTATTTGTGTCCTCAGAGTCAACTGAGTAGTGCTCCTGATTCCTGTAGTCTGCAATTTTTTCTCTGGAAATCCATTCCTACTCCCACACCATTCAAAGGGCGTTCATCCCAAATTGGATAACTACACAAATTTAGATAGATAAACAAATAAATAAATGGCACAATCTTGCAACAAAAAGAATTTTCCATGTCTGGCTGGAGAATTCTGGAAGTTGAATTCTGCCCATCTTAAACTAGCCAACATCAGAAAACGCTGCTCTGGATGGTTTAAATAGGCTCCTTCTCGTCTACCATGAAAATGGAGCTTCCTTGAAGCATCCTGAGAAAGAAACAATTGACTAGTCTTTTTATGTGCTCCATTTATTATCCATCCAGAGCAGTGTTTTCCAATTTTGGCAAATTAAAGATGGGCAGAATTCAACTTCCAGAATTCTCCAGCCAGACGTGGAAAATTCTTTTTGTTGCAAGATTGTGCCATTATCATTAATATAACTGCCCATCTCATTTAAGCAACTCTCGGTGGCTTATCAGATTAAAAACAAACAACCCTCCCAAACATAACAATCTACTTGTGTCCAAGGATAAACTAAGGATTAATTGAGTAGTAACAATAGTAGCAGAGCTCATCTCTCCCCTCCCCACCCATCCCGAATGCTTGGGGAACAGCGAGGATTTCAATACTTTGGCAAAGGCCAACAAGGCACATCTTATGGTGTTTTTTTAAAAAAATATTTTTATTAAACAGTTTTTTTAAAAAAAACAAAAAGCAATATTAACACTTTCTTCTTTTCAACAGTTTCGTGTCGGTAATCCATATTTATACATTTTCTCTCTCTTATCCTAGTATATCTTTTATACAAATACTTCTAATATATCACATATATACAGGGGTGGGTTCTAACCGGCTTTACTACCGGTTCTCTTTGTGTGCGCGCTTTGCACGCAATCGCCGCGCACATGCTCGGTTCACTCACAGGCATACTAAACTTGCGCTTCGCACAAGCGCGTTGTGAATCTGCCCAGCTGAGGTGTGGTAATCCGCTCTGCCGCACCTCTCAGCTGGGCGAAAAAAGCAGACATATAAGGTCAGTATAACGCAGGGACGGGTGGGAGGGCCCAGCTCCCAAAGACAGAGAACCGGTTCGGTGATGTCATATCATCACCGCTACTGGCTCTCGCGAACCGGGCCAAACCGAGAGGAACCCACCATTGTATATATACCACTATAATGTATTATATTATTCTAATTGTTTTATTTACATTAGACATAAATGTACACCCAATTTCCTTTCCACAATTTTTGTTTCTTCCTATTTGTTCTTATATTTCTACTTCTAATTCAACCGTTATTTAATCTTTCCTTATCCTTTTTTCCCTTTTCCTCCAACCATTTATTACCATCTCTCCCAGACTAGGTAGTATTCTGTTTCCTCTTTTTCTTGTATCTCCTTTGTAAGCTTACCCATTTCCGCACACTCCATGATTTTTCTAATCACATTGTCTTCTGATGGTATATTGTTATTTTTCCAGTTCTGAGCGTCAACTATTCGTGCTGCTGTAATTATGTGAATGATTAAATACCATATTTCTTTTTCATATGACCCTGAAATTATTCCCAGTAAGAAAGTTTCTGGCCTCATTTCTATGTGTTGATTTATAATTTCTTCTATTTGTGTTTTAATTTTTTGCCAGTATTGTTTCGCTTTATGACAGGACCACCACATATGATAATATGTTCCCTTTTGGTGTTTACATTTCCAACATAGTGCTATTTAATTAGAAAGATAACAGTAGGATCCTTGGTGCTCTCTGAACTTGGTTGATTTCTTGCATACATTTCATTATTCAATCAGCTGTCTATCTTGGTGTACTGTAATTCTCACCTTCTTAGAAGATGATGACAAGAGAGATGAACTTATTACACATATAAAAACATAATGCAGTGATGTATCATGGATGTTACATGGAAATGTGAAATTCCCCAGAAGGTCCAGAATTGCTTTGTTAAGATAGGATCTGAAGATGGATCCTCAGATTACAACTAAAGACTATATGGCCAGTAGCCAACCTGGATGTGCCAGGAGAGACTACAAACAGGTGCTTCTGCAATGAATACTAGTCAAGCCAAGAGTTCCTTCTCTGGATGAGGTTGTGTTATCCAGTTATCCTACAACTTTCTGGCCGGCTGCAGAGAAAAAGTTTCTCCAGGGAACACACGGTGCTATCCGCCCCTTTTCCATTTATATATGCACAGAAGCCTTCTCCTCTCACTAGAAACCTGCAAAAAGGACAAGGAGTTACTATTTGCTGGACAGTGGCAACTGAGGGGAGAAATTAGCATTGCAGGAATGATCTTTACACGATGATACCCAGATTTAGAACATAGAGAACATCAGCCAACATTGTGCCTCCAGGGTGCACTGGATCAAATTGATTATGGTGTCTGGAGTTAGTTTTGTCTGACAAATATGTCTGGAGGAAACATGACTGGAGGGCAAATAAATACACACATGCACACACACAAAGCAGAAAGCATCCATTTGGAGGCATATCTCATTCTTGGAAGGAGATAGGCGGACTTCAACTCCCAGAATCCCCTAACCAGCATGGTTCGCTGGAGAATCCTTGAAGAGTTCTTAAAGTTGCCAAGTTTGAGAAACAGTGCCTTTTTGGAAATAAAACTGCAATTTTATGACCATCTGGGCTGCTTACAAAAATATCAAAATTGGCAGGAAAAACATCTGCTCTTGGAGGTGGTGTATCATCTCAGCCATCTGAACTTCTCAGTCCATTACAGCTGGCCAACAGCGCAGGGACCACCAGATGTTAGATACTATTGCCTGATTAATTCTTTTCTCCCCCCACCCTCTGCTTCCCTTTCTGTGTCTTATATTTTGGGGGAAGAAGAGTAGCCAAAAATTATCTTGTTTCTTATTATGCTTTCAGCCACTCAAGGTGAAATGTGATGCATATAAATGCTTGAATAGGTAAACAGCTCTATAAGTCCCATAAACAAATAAATAAAACATACTTACTGATTTTTAAACTGAGTGCCATTGGACCACTTCCAGGTCTGGTTGACCTCTCTTGATAGATCAAACCAGTAATGAAACGGACGGAAAATTTCTACCCAAAAATCCTAGGAGAAAGGAAATAATATATAATAAAATCTTCATTTAACATTGGGGAACGAAAGTTTCCGTTATTTTTGCCTGACTATTGAATGCCAAAATACATCATTTTTGTCAAATTGTTTTATTTGTACAAGATTATAAAATTAAAATTAATGTATTAATTAAATTAATGTACATACACCTGTCTTTTCAGAACTATTTTAGAGACAGTGGGCTTGTCCAGCGGTGAAATCCACTTACCTTCGCTGCCAGTTTGGGCACGCTCCTGCGCAATGATTAAAAACCAGGACGTAATGACATCCCGGCGAGTGGGTGGAGCCTCCCGCTGCCAGCACTACCGGTTCGGCGAGCCAGATAAAACCGGGGGGGATTTCACCACTGGGCTTCTCTATTATTTTGTGGAGATATGTACACAAAAATTGGGTCTTTGTATCCAAAATCCACTAAAAGGAGATCTATTAAATTAAGCTTTTTACTGCAATGATGTACACATATCTCTGTTTAAATTTAAAGTGCGCTGCACAGCATTCAGCAGGAATATATGAGTTTGTCTTGCTCATAACGACACCCCTCCTTAAATATTTATTAATATTAATAACATCAAGATAACAAAAATGTTCATGGCAGTTTTTATGCAGATAATAAATGTACTGGATTATGTGCCACCAAGTTTATTTATTTATTTATTTATTTATTTATTTATTTATTTATTTATTTATTTATTTATTTATTCGATTTGTATACCGCCCTACTCCCGAAGGACTCAGGGCGGTGAACAGCCAAACAATAAAATAACATAGACATAAAAAATTTAAAAACCAGATAAAATCAAATTAAATTATTTTGGCCCAGACAGATTAAAACACCCCAATAATTTAAAAACAGATTAAAATTTACATATTTAAAAGGGAAGAGATTAGGCCAAGCCCGCCTGCTGGAATAAAAAGGTCTTCACAGTGCGGCGGAAGGTGCGCAGATCCGGGATCCTCCGTATCTCCAGGGGGAGCTCATTCCAGACGGTAGGTGCCCCCACAGAGAAGGCTCTCCCCCTAGGGGTCGCCAGCCGACATTGTTTGGCTGATGGCACCCGGAGGAGTCCCTCTCTATGAGAGCGTACTGGCCGGTGGGAGGCTATTGGTGGTAGTAGGCGGTCCCGTAGATAACCAGGTCCTAAGCCATGGAGCGCTTTAAAGGTGGTAACCAAAACCTTGAAGCGCACCCGGAAGACTACCGGGAGCCAGTGCAGCTCGCGCAGGAGAGGTGTCACATGGGAGCGCCACGTCGCTCCCATTACCACCCGCGCGGCCGCACTCTGCGCCAGTTGGAGCCTCCGGGTGCTCCTCAAGGGGAGCCCCATGTAGAGAGCATTACAATAGTCCAGGCGGGAGGTGACGAGGGCATGAGTGACCGTGCGTAACGAGTCCCGATCCAGAAAGGGACGCAACTGGCGAATCAGGCGAACCTGATGAAAAATCCTCCCGGTCACGGCCGTCAAGTGCTCTTCTAAAGACAGCCATGAATCCAGGAGGACGCCCAAGTTGCGAGCCCTCTCCGTGGGGGCCAATGATTCGCCCCCAATAGTCAGTGATGGCGTCAACTGCCTATATCGGGACGTCGGAAACCACAGCCACTCGGTCTTGGATGGGTTGAGCCTGAGCCTGTTCCTCCCCATCCAGATCCGTACGGCCTCCAGGCACCGGGACATCACTTCAAGGGCATCGTTGGGGTGATCCGGGGTGGAGATGTACAGCTGGGTGTCGTCAGTGTACTGATGGTACTCCACCCCGAAACCACGGATGATCTCGCCCAGCGGCTTCACATAAATGTTGAACAGGAGAGGCGAGAGGACCGACCCTTGCGGCACCCCACATATGAGGGGCCTCGGGGTCGACCTCTGTCCCCCTGTCAACACAGACTGCGACCGGTCAGAGAGAAAGGAGGAGAACCACCGCAACACAGTGCCTCCCACCCCCAACTCTTCCAACCGGTGCAGCATGATACCATGGTCAATGGTATCAAAAGCCGCTGAGAGATCTAACAGGACCAGGACAGAGGAGCACCCCCTGTCCCGAGCCCTCCAGAGATCATCAACCAACGCGACCAATGCCGTTTCCGTGCTGTACCCGGGCCTGAAGCCCGATTGGAACGGATCCAGATACGTCGTTTCATCCAGGTGCTGGGGGAGCTGTTGCGCAACCACACTCTCAACAACCTTCACCACAAAACGAAGGTTGGAGACCGGACGATAATTTACCAACATTGCCGGGTCCAGGGAAGGCTTCTTGAGGAGAGGCCTCACCACCGCCTCTTTCAAGGCGGCAGGAAAGACACCCTCACCCAACGAAGCATTTATAATCCCCTGGAACCAGCCTCGTGTCACCTCCCGAGAAGCCAGCACTAACCAGGAGGGACACGGGTCCAATAAACAGGTGGTCGCGTTCAGTCTACCCAGAATCCTGTCCACGTCCTCAGGGGTCACAGGATCAAACTCATCCCAGATAACATTCTCAAGACCTGCCCCAGTCCCTCCCCCTGAGACTACCCAGTCGGAGTCCAGATCTTCCCGAATCTGAGTGATTTTGTCATACAGATACTGAACAAAATCCTCGGCTCTACCCTCCAAGGGGTCCTCCCGCGCTTCCTGGTGGAGCAGGGAGCGGGTCACCCTAAACAGGGCGGCCGGGCGATTATCTGATGACGCAATAAGAGCAGCAAAATAGTTACATTTCGCTGCTTTTATTGCCACTAGGTAATTCCTAATATGAGATCTTACCAGTGTCCGGTCAGATTCAGAAAGACTGGCCCTCCAACTGCTCTCTAGGCATCTTTTCCGGCGCTTCAACTCCCTCAGCTCCTCAGTGAACCAAGGAGCTAAATGAGATCGGCGCCGGGTCAGAGGCCGCAAAGGCACGACTCGGTCCAGAGCTCCAGCGGCCGCCCTATCCCAGGCGGCCACTAGGTCTCCAGTCGAGGCGTGTGCCAGAGCCTCAGGGAATGGCCCAAGCTCCATCTGGAACCTGTCAGGTTCCATCAGGCGCCTGGGGCGGAACCATCTTACCGGCTCCGCCTCCCTGCGGCGGGGTGCGGCGGTTCGAAGGTCAAAGCGAAGGAGGGAGTGATCTGACCATGACAAGGGCTCGATCACTATATCCCCTATCTCAAGATCACTCAACCACTGTCCAGAGACAAAAACCAGATCCAGCGTGTTTCCCCCCGTGTGGGTAGGGTCATGAATTAACTGGGTCAGGTCCATGGCTGTCATGGAAGCCATGAACTCCTGAGCCACCTCTGACGCCTCACCCACGGACGGCAGGTTGAAATCCCCCATGACCATAAGCCTAGGGGTATCAACCGCCACCGCGGCGATGACGTTGAGTAGCTCAGGCAGGGCTGCTGCCACGTGGCAGGGAGCCAGGTACGTGATCAGCAAACCCCTCTGAACCCCGTGACCCCATTTCACAAGGAGGGATTCACAGCCGGCTGTCTGAGGAACAGTGGCCTCCCTCGGTCTCAGGCCTTCTTTAATGATAACCGCTACCCCCCCGCCCCTCCCCTGTGACCTTGGCTGATGGAATGCGTGGAAACCTGGTGGGCACATTTCAACGAGGGGAACCCCCCCCCTCCTGGCCCAACCAGGTCTCCGTAATACCTGCCAGGTCCGCACCCCCCTCCTGAATAAGATCACAAATGAGGGGGGCTTTATTTACTACGGACCTGGCATTGCACAGCATCAGCCGAAGGCCTGGGCCCTGAGGGTCTATGCAACCTGGAGAACGGGTGGAGCCTAGGGGGCCGGAGCATGCCACCGCTCGTAGACAGCGGGTGCGCGCTCCCCTAACATGATATGGCCCCCTGCTCCCGCCATATCTACCCCTCCCACTCACAGTACTGATGTTTGAAACACTATCCGGATGAGCTCTAACACCCCCCCCGACCCCAGGTCCCCCACCCCCCCGCCGCACTTCGAGGCCAGACCGAACCCTCCCCCTTGTGGGTTTTCCCCCAAACCCACAACCCGAGTTCTAATTCGACCCTCCCCCTCCCTGGGACCCCTTAAAAGTTTAATTAAAAAATTTGATAAAAAACCCCACAACCCCCTGGTTTTCACATGCCACCTCTCTGGGTCCCAAAACCCATCCTTGAGGTAGGCTCTTGATAATGTGGAGGGCCAGATCTGCGAGAGGGAGGAATCTCGCAGCGCAAGAAGTTCATAGGTAGTATACATCTTAGGTTACAGCGAGGGAGGCGGAGATCATAATCAGGGGTCCATTTGGTAATCCCAAAATCAGATGTAACACACAGCCATGCGGCTCCACCGGTAAATACACTGTCCTCTCACGACAGTTTGAGGGGTCTTTCACAGTTTCAGCCAACGGAGAATGACATCCAGCCCGCCCTCTCATGGCGGGAGGCCCTTAAATAGCCCAAGAGATAGAAATGCTCCATCCAACCGGTGGTGAATTCATGATGTAAAAAGACGACCCCCTCAGTGGTTGCCACAATGGATTGTCCCAAGGTTGGAGAGAATGATTTATAGTTTAGTCAGTCAGTTCATCCGGGGGTTAAGATGACAGTCCCTGCTCTTTATAGTCGCACCAATAGGATAGTTCCAGTAGGAGACACAAAAACATACGGGGGAAGGGGAGGGGAGGGGGGGAGAAACCCCTTTCCCTGGGGCCAGATGGTAGCCCATTTCACGGCCTAAACAAGGTCCGGGAGGGAGGGGGGCGGGGGGAGAGAAGGGCTGGCATCAATGCAACAGGAGGAGGAACCCCTCCCCCGGCCACCAGCCCTTTCTCCTCCAGTTCTTCCAAGTAAAAAAACCCCAGTTCTTCCTGGTAACATAACCCAATGCCATGTCCCAGCCTCCAGTACATTTCTCGGAGGCCTCCAGGTCCTCTGCATCCGCCAGGATCTTCCTGAAGGGGTCTCTCACTACCCAAAGCCAGAAACTGGCTGCTGGAATCCCCTCCGTCGCTAGCCCCGCCATCAAGGCCACCATTGC